GATGTTAAAATAGTGTATGTTAAATAGGTTTGTACAATAAGTCCAAATAAATTTACCCAAACAATATTTATTTCTCACAATTATGAAGGGTTAGGGTTAGGGTTAGGGTCATTTATGTGGGCCACCAGTCACGATAACATCAGTAACAGGTCAGTTTGAAATGAAAGACACAATTCAGTTAAATTTTGGGGTCTTTGTTTTTATCCTTGTGGTTTCGAAAATGGTATCGAGTATTTTCCTGAGTATCGGTATCGAGTTGAAAATTTTAGTATCGTGACAACCCTAGTCGCCGCGGCAACGGAAACGGCGGCCATAGGGGGCGGGACCCACCTGCTCCTCGGTGAGGGGCAGCCAGTAGATGCACGGCGCCGCTTTGGTCTTCAGGAACAGGTCGTCCAGCAGCTTGGCCGGAGGCTCCTCCCCCTTTTCTGCTGGACGGAGAGAAGAAGAAGAAGAAGAAACCCGTGAACTCAGACCATCTGGCTTTGACCTCTGACCCCTGACACCTTGGAGGCCCCCAAACCGGGAAGATTTCAGAGCTCCACAAACACCCTGAAATCTCTTTACAGGGACACCCGGGGACCACAGTCACGGCCGAATGAATAAAGATTTATTCCAGTAAATCAGTGGTCTTCAATGTTTTCCAGGCCAAGAACCCCAAACTGATGGCGAGATTGAGCGGTGACCCCCTAATTATATATATTATATTAAATTGTGTTATATCAAACTGGCCCTATAGTGTGTAAATGTCCCTTGTTATTGGGCATTCAATACTAAGATTTACATATCTTCCTGTTTTTACTGTAAACATCTGGTTCTGGTTCCTGTTGGTGGGACAGGTGTTGTGAATGAAACGGGGCCCAGCCTGAAAGAGCTCCTGTGTGATAGATAGATAGATAGAATATTTTAAATAAATAGAATATTTTAAAATGGATAAATAGATAGATAGAATATTTTAGACAGACAGACAGACAGACAGACAGACAGACAGACAGACAGACAGACAGACAGACAGACAGACAGACAGACAGACAGA